GATGAGTGGGTAGATAAATGGTTCAGTGTGTAGTTGGATAGTCTGGTGGCTGTATGGTTGGATAGTATATGGGTGGTTGAATGAATGGTTGCGTTGATGGGTAGGTGGTAGGCAAAAGATAGAAGGAGAATGGGTAAATGTTTGGGTTGGTAAGAAATCCAGACTCGCCCATTTACCAGGAACCTGGGCCAGGAACCCCAGGGCTTGGTAAAGGCTATCAGGCTAGCATAGAATGGGCACTAGAATCAGACATCTGGTCGCTCAAGGGTCATCCAACAGCTAATAGGTATTTATATTAGAATATTCAGCCAAAGGGTGAGAGAGCCAGAAAGACTCTTAAGTGAGGTTAGATACATGCAAAGCATTTAGTACGATGCCTGGTACATAGTAACAGCTCAATGTTAGCTGCTATTCTACAGTTGTTGGTACTACTGTTACATTAATGTGTACTTTTTAGTGTTAATCGTGGTGCTAAGCACTTCATATGCATTATCTCATTTGTCCCCCCAGCAACTCCGAGAGGTAGATGCTATCATTAGCCCCATTTTACTCGATTATGATTATGATTATGATTATTGGGTGTGACAAAAGAGAAACAGGCAAGAAGACTGGAGTTCAAGCTGGTGGAAAATTCCCTGGGGCTGCTGGGAGTTTGGGCAAGCCACAGCAAAGAGCAGTTGTCTTGAGTGACATCTACTCAGAGATGTCAACGATTTCCCTTGAGCCTTTGGGTGCCCCCATAACTACCCTCATAGAGCAATTATTCCTTCCCAGGGGTCTGCGGGGGAGAGGGGAAAGGGGATTAATTAGTCATGCTCAGTGCCCAGAAGTGCCAAGAAAACGGAGGACACTCCGTGGGGTTATAAATAAGTGATGGCTGTTATTATGGAGGTTAAGAAGGAAAAACTGGCTTCGAGTGGATAGATCACTTGCTGCCACAGTTTAGAGGGGGTTCACCTGTATTTGCAGTGACGAATTGGGCTGATTTGATGTCGTTCAGCCTCAGGTAAAAATCTCAACACATTTTAGCAGGAAGTCTGCCAAGAGGCCATGAGCAGATAGGGTTTGTGCCTTGCTGCTGGTACTCAGCTGTCCGCTCTCTGGTTTGACCTTTGGGATGCTGTTCCCCTTGTGGGCTTTGTCTCTTTCCCATCTGTAAAATGACCTGAACTCTTACGGGGGGACCCCTTCTCTATAAAACATTTTGAATTTTATTGTTCTTTTTGCCCCGGGTCCTGTGAGTTCATTTTCTTTTCTCCTGTTTCTTATAAGTACATTCTAAGGAGATGGTAAACTTTGGGTTTGTGGAGAAAGAATTGTATCAGGTTGGCTCTTTGGGACATAAAGGAAAATATCATAACTTAATCTGGCTTAGGAAAAAAAGGGAGTATTTACTAGCTCACACAGCTGGAAAAATCCGGGGTATTACCTTCAGGCACATCTGGATCCAGAAGTTCTAATGCTATTGTCAGGACTAGTATCTCAATCTCTGGGTCTACTTTCCCCTGAATTGGCTTTATTTCTAGGTAGTCTCTCTTCTTATGATGGCAGAAAATTCTAGGAAATGAAGGCCAGATGTTTCCAAATAGTTACAGTCTTCATTCAGAAAATAAAAATGCTAAACTGGGTACAGTGCAGAGCCTGGGGAAACAGAGAGAGACTAGACCTATTCCACCGTCTGCACTTCCAAGATCCAGGCGTGGGTCTAGATGTTCTTTATCTAAATCCGGAACCAAACTTTGCAGGAATTGGGCCACCCAGAGGGAAGAATCTGAGTGACAAGGAACATCTAGAAGTAGCCTTGGGCTTGGGGAAGAATCTCTCCCGGCAGAACCCTGTGGCTGTGAAATTACCTAGCCACCTTCACCACCATCATCCCAGCCCAAGCCCATCACCTCTGGCCTGGACAATTGCAGATGTCTCACAAGGAGTCTTCCTGCTACCTTTGTCCCCCAACCTTTCATAATGCAGCTGGAAGAATCAGTTCAAAAAATATATCAGCACATGGGACTTCCCTGCTTAAAACTCTTCTCATGGCTTCCCATCGGGATTAGGAAAAACTCAAACTCATTCCTTGAACTTGAGAGTAAAATCCCAACAAGGCTCTGCATGACCTAGTCCCGTCCACCTCTCTAACCTCCCTTCCCAAGGTCATTTCCTCCTTAGGGCCTTTGCTCTCTTTGGCTCCCCTGCCTGTCCCCCCTTCCTCGGAACTTCACATGGTTGTCTTGTCCCTGACCTCAGGTTCTCACCTTAGATATATCACCTCCTCTGGGAAGTCTTCCTTGACGGTCCAACCACTCTATCTAAAGTTGCTGGCACCTCTCTCAGACATGCTCTATCACTTCCACTTGTGTACTTTTCTTCATGGTATTTATTACAATCCAAGTGATCTGGTTTCTTTATTTAGCTTGTTTATTAACTGTATTCCCCACCAGAATATAAGTCCATGAACACAGGGTCTGCCCATTTTATTCTTCTCACTGTATCTCCAGTGTCTCGAGTAGCGTTTGGCATATAGTAGATGCTCACTAATTATTGGTTGAGAGAATAGCGTTTCCAGACCAGCGAATACCTTTGCCTTCTGCTAAATTAATCTAGGGTTTCTCAGCCTTGCCACTGTTGACATTTAGAGCTAGAAAATTATCTGTTGTGGCTGTCCATCCATCCTATGCACCTGGAGGATGTTTCTCAGCATCCCTGGCCTCTACCCACAAAATGATGACACCTTGGACAAGGCTCATGATGATGGAGGTGATGAGAAGTAAACAAATTTTAAAAATATAGTAATATTATGCACAACACTATGGAAACGAATCCCTTCGTTTAAGAAATGAAGGGAAGAGCCAGAGAGGGGAAGTGGCCCTATGGCTTTAGTCAGTTTTTGTCTTTTAGGGAAGCTTTGCTCATCTCTTCAGGTAAATCCTTCGGTCCTACATTCATTTCTGGAGATTATTTGATGGATTCTGTCTCCTCCACTGGACGGGAGATCCAAGGGAGGATGCTTCCTTTGCTGAGCCTGGCACAGGGCCAGGCACACAGGACGTTCTCAAAAACCAGATGCCCAAGGTAACATGAATAAATGAATGAATCACCAGGCTATATAAATCAGCTGACCCCTCACTCTCTCTTCCTCTCACCCTACTTTATTTTTCACCTTAGTGATTATCACCAGCTGCCACATTGCATATTTATTTGTTGATGTATTTCATTGTCCGTCTTCCTCCACTAGAACCCAGAATTCCATTCTGGAATTAGATTTTAGCAACTAGCATGGAAGCTCATGAAAGCAAGGGCTATTTAAAATTGCAATCTGCCCCCACCCCACCCCTGCCTCTATCCCTCTCCTCTGCTTCCTTACCCTCTCAGCGCTTATCACTGCCTGACATATTACTACTTGACTTTCTTGTTTTTCATCTGTCTCCAGCCAGTTCTACCAGGGCCGAACGTTTGTGTTTGGTTCACAGCTGTTTCTCAGACGTTGATCCTAGTGCCTAGCACATAGAAGGCACGCACCCCCACGTTGTTGACCTGACAAAGGATGGAGGGATTGCGACTCAGCCAGGGAAGGCAGCCCAGGTGGGAAGGGCTGGACCGCCAGGTGCATCTCCTTCGCCCAAAGCCCCAGCCCGCCCCCAGCTTCACCTGGAGGCTGGGCCGGGCAGGCAGGAGTTAAGCGGTGCTCACGCTTCCGACCC